GTTCTTTCTGGTAATTAATTAGCACTTCGTCATCGGTGAGGAAGTTTTAACCAGTTTTTTTTTTTTCTTTTACGGAGTCTACCTGTATGCTAAAAGTTTAAAGAAACTATGAACGGAAGAGGATGTGTGAAAAAATATCCTTAAAATATTTTCTGGAAATAATATGCAGCCGGTCTTTCAGATATTAAACTGGACACAGGTAATGAACCGGCGTCTATGAAGCTTGTCTTAATGGCTGTTTTCACGCTAGAGACGGATAATTTGTTTTCGCAGCTGTCGCCGCTTAGCAGTTACTCGATTTTATATTTTGTTTGAGCAAACTATAGATATCAACGACAGCTTCCCCTTTAGCCCTGGCTAAAGCTATATATTATATAAGGTTTCTAAGCATAGTAAGTACTCACTAGTGGTGACGGTTGGCTTCTACTTAGGTCAGGGTTTTCGATGATTCAAATCAACTTCCTTAGCAGCAGATCCTCGGTCGTCTAATGGTATGATTCATTTACTGTTTTGCAGTTTTGCAGTCCAGGAAAAGCGCGGTTTGAGATATGGAACCCAATAAACACATACTATGTGACCTCGTTGGTAACGATCAGGGGTAAACGCAAATAAACTCTTGATTTCTTACGTGTGTTCAGTCCTTCTAAAATGAGCAATTAATAAACGCAGCGAAGTGATTGGTTGAGTACTCCTACCAAGAAGCATTTCGGACCGTGTCCAACTTCCTCTGTTAAGGATGCATACAAATCCATTTCCACATCTGTCACAATTAAAGAGAGTAGTGATCGTGTTTATAATTAAAGCGAGGCAGTTCGTTATTAAAAAGTGCAATGGCGAATGTTGCAAAGTTTATTTTGTTACATATTGCGCTCAATGGCAGTTATTGTAAAGTGTGACAGTTTATTTTATTACAAAGTTCAACGGCGATTGTTACGAACTGCGTCAGTTCGTTTTATTTCCAAGTGCAAAGGTGGTTATTGCGTATACAAAGTGCTACGGTCATTCGACCGAAGAGTTAATATCTCTCGGTGACGTCACAGCTCACGGTAGAGTCCAGGATTGACTGAGCCGAGAACGCCTTGGGACCAGGCTGGCTTCTCCCTTCACCCTTTTATATACTACTTGTGACCATTGACCATCCCCTATTAATGATATGCCTTTAAGTCCAGGCATTTTTAGTCTGAAAACAGCCCGTAATTTTAAAAATTTGCAAACCACATGTACATTTTCCCAAAAATTTAAATAACTTCGAAAACTTTGGAGAGATTTTTTCCCATATATTATATATTTATACTTTTTTAAGCCTCGTTACAATTATCATTGCATTTGTGCCAGTTAACGTGTACGCTCTTAGATTTGGGAAGAAAAATAACTTTTGACTTAATTTTTCTAAAAAAAGCCAGTTCAGCGTTTTCTCCATACTTAAGCTCATTTATCTCTGAAAAATGCGTGGTTACCCCCAGTTTTCTCTGTGGATTTCAACAGCCCTTGGTATAATCTACTTGTCTAACAAAGTCATTACCTGGGAAAAAATACTTCCCATTAGTGGGCACCGTCCTTAGACGAAAATCAATAATCCGGCACTATTCTTTATCAACGATGCTAGAAATCATGTAAACCGGCCTTTAAAACTTTCTTGCTGAGAAACGCGGCTCAAAACATTTTTAGTATTTTGAAATCTCAATAAATGCAGTTGAAGCCCGGGAGGTAGTCAGTTATATAAGCCAATGCACATAATTAGGTATGTGCCACCCCAAAGGGTATACATGGTTTTTGGGCCATTTCGGTCTGAAAACGGGTATAGATTTTGTCCATTTTGGTCTGGAATCGGATTTCGTCTGCGAGGAAACTAAGGGAGTGTACAAAGGTATTTGTTGTTTAAATTCCAAATTAATCAGAAGGAAATAGTAATATGCTGAATTCGAAATGGATTTTAAGAAGTCTTTTTGGTTGAGCTTTTAAGCTTAAGTCTAAAAATGATGACTTCATTTCTGCATTAAACCAGGTCGGAAAAAGGGTGTGGAAAATACCAATGGTTTTGTGTGAAATAGGGTCAGGATTTGGAGAAACGGGAGACATACCCCCACCACGAATTCCTAGGAATAAGCACCCCCCACCCCCAACCCCTGCTAGGCCCTCTTTCATTAAATGAAGCCGATGGAATCTTTTAAGTGATCTGGCAGAAATTCATGCTCTGAAAATTGTCATTGTATCAAACTCTTCTTATGAAGTTTATCTTACAACAGATTTCTTAGACATGAGGCTTAGAACAAGGAATCAAATCGAAACGAAGTATTATGTAGGGAGATTAAGGAAGACAATGTCAAATGCCATGCCCAAGAGAGTTCTTGCGTGCACAATTAAGACTTTTAAAAAATTGAAGGCAGTGTCCGCACACAATCGGTTATTCAGCAAGCAAACAACTCTTTGACTGGAAAAAGCGACAAAGATAAAGTTTTGTGTTCAAACTTTTGTACAAAAACAAAATTACGGTATATAAACCCGTTCTACCCATATCAGCTTGGAATTGACTGAACGATTACGCCGGGTAACCACTTGGACTTGTATGGATGAGACTGAATTAAATGCTAGAAGACAGCGAAATGAACTATAATTGTAACTAAAAGAAGCAAAAATATATTCGGAGATTTCCACGTCATCAGCAACGACTTGAGGTTTTGTCTTTATAGCCATTGTACAGCGGATATGCTTGAGAAAGTCAAGTTACCCCCTCTTCTTTGCATGACGGTGAACAAGACGGGTCCCGCGAGATCTGAATATCGTTTTAGCTTCACACCAAAGGTAAAACTCGTCCAACCTCACGTCAAGCTCGCCTCGAGTTTCATGTATCGGCGTCCGCCCGATTCTATCCGTGGCCAGCCCCGCGAAAGCTTTCAGCCTGGTTTTGTTCCCGCTGCAAGATCGGGCTGGCTTGATGACTATGTGTTTCTGCATAGCAACGCGTTTTACAGCAACAACAAAAAGAAGCGGACTTATTTCACTGTAAGGCCAGATTGGGTGTCTGACAGATGTGTTCGGAAGAATAATCCTTTCTCTTAGTATATTTAATTGATAGAAATGACTCTAGGGGTCGGTTATTTAAACTTAGACTGCACTTTAGGAAATATTTGGGCCTCTATATCTCACCCTTAGTTGGTTGTTTTAAGAAGACAAATGATTTTCTAGTCTACGCCATATGCTTTTATGAAAATGTTTACTATAAATGGTGTTAACATAAATTAAAAGCGTCTGCAAACTGAAAATGGCTTGGAACGCGCGCGGTTTTGTTAAACACCGGCTAAACTCCATTTAAATGCTGGCCCTAAGTGACTGTTCCATATTTTTGTGTTCTACCGAGCTGAGGGGCTCATTAGTAGTCGACTCACTGTCAGTTACGCTTTAGATTGCTACGTCTTAGGCTATGTTGACGCTATACTGGATGGCTTTAATTGCGTTGGCACGAAAACCATACCGGATAGGGATTCTATTGGTTCACAAATAAGAACGATGATTTCGACTCGATTTCTGTAACGATGCGAAACTACGCCTCACCGATCTCTAAAAGTGACCGACTCACATATCAGATAGTTAGGCCCGGTTCAGACGCCGCTCCTCCGATGTGACGAACCTAACTGATGAATTAAGTACGGCAAAAGAGCGGCGTCTGAATCAATTTGGTACGGCAGTTTTAGTTAGGTACGGCAAAAGAGGTTGGTGCGATAAAAATTCGACAGAGTCTGTCGAATTTAACTTAGGCGCGACACACGGTGCGCCGTATGAATCATGTGTCGCGCCAGTGTCGTTCCAAAGTCGAACTTAGAGTTAGTCAGTTAGGTTCAGCACATGAAAAGTACGGCGTCTGAAACAGTCCTTAGGCGTTGGTACTATGCCGCGGATAGCTTTCCGTATCGGCAAGAAAGGCTATCCGGTACAGTGTCAACATAGCCCTAGTTTACTGCTCATTTAATTTGGTGAGACTGCCATATAAAATGTTATAAAATGTTCTGAACTTTTTCCGGTTATTCTTAGCCTCTACTTTCTATCTAAAAAAGAAAAGAGTTTAGGCACACAACCATAACATTTGCGAAAATAAATTTGCACCCAACTAGAATATGGTTATCCGTTGTTTAGAGCATGTATAAACTTGCTTCTAAACTTTAAGGGCGCCCTTATTGTATTGTTTGTATACAACCACCAAACTTCTGCTACGGAGGAAATAACTGACCACGGTTACCTTTTTCGTTGTAGAAGTATTTGGAGGTGAAATGCTGCTAGCCTGTGAAGAGGCTCTCTGTTTGGGGAAAAAAAAGCGAGGAGTTCCCCGGCCAAAGGCCTGTTTCACAGGCTAAAACACTGCCGAAGTGCGCTGATGTATCACTTATTTTACAGTAAAATGTGATCCAGTCAAAGGTGATGCTTTTTAATGCTGATAAGAGTCGAATAACAGAAATAGAAAGGAGAAAACCTTGACCTTGTGTGTAAGCTTCCGCTACAGATTTTTTTTATATCGAGTCTATCTTATTTCAAGAGTACGCTGAATTAGAAGTGAAGAGTGTAAAAAAGTATCATGGCATTAGGTCAGCAACCGGTTAGTTGACGATTTGTATTCAATTAGCTCCTTGATACCGCAGTGCAATAACTCTTAAGTAATTCGATTTAACAAAGAACAAAACTGCATAACAATAAAAGTAAAGAACGAAATGATGAATTTGTTGGCAGGTTCAATTAATCACAATGTGTATCATTTGCGTTGCTATAGACAACAAGTAACGCAACCTTTCTTAAACAGCCGGTACTCGTGGAGTGGAGTAGAGATCATTTCACCATCTTTGACTTATGATCTTGAATCAGTTGCTGTAGCGAAGTTTGAAAGTTTGTTTCTCAGTGTTTTTTGGATAACATATTCTGGCTGCCCATGAAAACAAGCTTCACTTGGGCGATTATTTCGCTTGGGCGATCATTGTCCTTAATCTACGCTCTCTGACTGCGATTCTTCCAAGATGCCATATAAGTATGGAAATGCCCCAGGGTTGTTACAGGAAACTATTAGTAAGATAACGTACAAAAGCGAATACACAACAAGTTTCACAGGAGAACGTGTCCCGTTGCAGAACGTTCGCATTCCAACAGGGTTAAAGATGAGAACGGCATGGGATGAAGCACGGACGCCGGAAACTTCTCGTGCTATCCAGTTGCCTTTTCACCACAGAAGAAATTATCCCGCAAGAATAAACCTTCAAGGACTCCAGCCATCACCAACAGCACGAGCTAGAAGCGCCCTTCAAAGGCCCAGTAGTAATGCGTCTCAAATTAGCCGAAGCAGTGGTCGAAGACCTACGAGTTCGGTGTCGGCATTCTCAACGCGCGAACGACCAAGTACCGAAGATCTGCTACGACGACCCCAGAGCTTAGTGGCACGAAGGCCTCAAAGCGAGCTTTCTCGTTTCCCAAAAGAATTTCGCTACATTGACAAACAGTGCTTCTTTCATCCAGCCACCGAACCAAGTAGGAGCTTTTTTATAGTAAGTCCCGACTGGGTGTCTGAACGCAAGAATTACATTATCCGCAAAAATACTCTGTTTGGTTAAAAATCCAACTTAAGATTGAATTTACCTTAATGTTATTACGAACTCTTGATAAGAGTGTAAACCGGAATGAACTACGTCGGTTTATTTTAAATAATTCGGGAGCCGATATATTGGGGAATATTTAAAGAAGCACTTGTCTTAACTCTTTCACGGCACCAAAGGTCACACAAGTTCATATGAATATACAGCATGCGATTGTACTACTGTGTGACAGGTTTTTTGCTGTTGTTGTTGTTGTTTAATTTTATTTGACTGCGATCCATCGAGGCATTCCTAGTTTTTTTAGAATCATTCTGTTGAAAATTTAATATTAATTATTCTGTTGAAATTAACCGAATTGACTGAACTGGAAGACTTGAAAGACGTGTTAATTACTCTAGGGATGCTTCGCCCGATCTCACTCAAAGCTTTCTGATCTGAATGAACGCTTGGATGGTCAGTGGATGGCTTGCTATCCAGCGAGCGGTTGGTTTGCAAACATTTCACCGAGTTCTGCAAAGGGCAAGGTGAAGCGCTGAAAGCATCTAGCACCTTTGAGTTAAGTACCGTACGGTAAACCCTGCAGTGTGTCTAGACTGCAAGACAGTCGGGCTTTTTCTCAAAATATGTAATGAAATCACCTGGTAAAGAGTAGGGTAAGAGTCTTACGCGCGCGAAGCGCGCGATCCTCACACGCCCTATGGGCGTAGGGTGTGTAGAAGGGGCGCGCCTCCCATTTTTTATGAGACAAGACGCCTAAAGTCGTTTCCGTGGGATGCGTTGGTCTATGGAAGCATAATGGCGTTCTATCTAGGTTAATGGAACAAAACAAAACAAAACATCCGCTTGCTTTATCCAGGGTCGAACCCAGGGTTACA